ATCCAGATAGTTTAAAAACTGCTGGGAGCGAATCAACAAATTGGTTAGTTAAGGGGCAGCTATTCGCTGAAACTGAAGGATTTATCACAGCTATTCAGGATGGAAGCATAGCGACTAGGAATTATAAGAAGTATATCCAAAAGATCAGAATAGATGATGATAAATGTCGTATGTGTGGACGGGTGCCAGAGACCATCGAACATGTAATAGCAGGATGTCAAACGCTAGCTCCGTCTGAATACACCAAAAGGCACAATTTAACAGCAAATATTGTACACCAAGAACTAGCAATGCTATGCAACCTAGGAGAGGGAAAATACAGTCCATATTTTAAATACATACCTGCTCCAGTTCTTGAGAACGAAAATTATCGGCTATACTGGGATACACCTATAGTAACAGATAAACCAATAGCCAGCAATAGACCAGACATTATTCTGCTGGATAAGGCTAATAAAAAGGCGTATTTCATCGACGTCTCACATCCCTCGGACCACAACCTGGAACAGAAAGAGAGAGAAAAAATTAATAAGTATTACGACTTGGCAGAGGAATATAAAAAAAATACTCACCCTAAAAGCAGTACATGTTATCCCTGTAATTATATCGGCCACTGGGCTAGTTATCAAGAAGCTTGCAGGATACCTGGAAAGACTGAATATAACGAATAAAACCATCGTTACAAAAATGCAAAAGTCCGTAATACTTGAAACTTGCAAAATCGTCCGAAAGACCCTGAATATCCCGGAGACATAAACCTTCCCCCCCCCCAACTTTAGTGACTGGTTAATAAACCCCACTAAAGCTGCTACCCTAATAAGGAGGAAATAATAATAATAATAATAATAATAGTAATAATAATAATAATGATAATAATAATTACAACAACTATAATAACAATAATAATAATAATAATATGGATAATATTAATAATATTTATTTAAGTAAATGTAAACCAATGCAAAAAAAACAAATAAAAATTGAAAAAACCAAGGAGTATGAAAGTTTTTGCAAATCAAAATCAACAAAAAACGCTTAAATACCCTAAATATCCTAAGAAATTGAAGAATAAAAAGTTCTCAAGATCAATAGATACCCACATTAATCCGAAGCGCAATGTTATCTTAAACTATCGAGTATCTAACCCTTCACAACTATCTTAACTTTTTTAAATGTGTTTATACCAGCAATATGATGCAAAATAATTACTTGTACGCTGGTCAATTGTCTTTGAACATGTCGTGATATCGTGACCTTCCCCTAGTCTCATAGTTGTGTTCAACTGACTTCAACAAAATCTTTTTTTGTATACATCTCTCAGTAATATTTTTTGTTTACCTTCATATCTCTAATAACGAAAAAGTTACAGCCAATTAAAATGTTATCAAGATAAATTGAACGCACTGTATATAGTGTTCTATTTTGTGTCTTCTGTTATATAACTTTTCCACTAGACCTCAATCCCGTTTTTGGAATTAGTATACAGGGACAGCCCGAAAAGTTGCCAGACCCTACTTTATTTTTTTAAAATGTAATACCCTGTATATTTATACATTATACAATTTTTCTTTTTTTTCCTTTCCAAAAAATATATAATACTATGCACTTTTTCTCAGAAAAAAGTAAATAAATGACAATTTTCGAAAATTACATGCATAATTTAATAGTAGGCTTTTTATGACAACAAATATTCTCAGCGATTTTTGGATCGACTTAAATAAGTTTATTTCGTGTGATTAAAAATGTGATATGCTGGTATTTTTTATACATAGAACGAAAAGGAACAGATGTTTTAGGATATGCAAAAGCGTCGTTATTGTTTACTAATATGTCAAACATATTTTTATTCGTCAGTCAGGGCACTCCTTGAAATTATATAAAAATTTCCTATTTTTGCCGATTTGTCATGAACGAGTGTACTAAAATATAAAGTGTGTTACATCATTGTAATCGGAATAAGAGTTCTATTAAACACATATATAATATACAGGGTATTTCATTAAAAAAATTAGATGTAGGCTTATATGTCAGAAAATTGATAGTGTTTTGTTTTATACGTCACTTCTAAAAAAACTTTGCTACTAACCCTACTTTTTTTTTTAATGTTATCAAGATAAATTAAACGCACGGTACAATTGGGAGGCAGTAAAGTTGCAATACACAGATATTAATACTGCCGATTCCCGTTGCCTTAGTCTTAATAGTATTGGTTATATTAAGCAATTCAATCTCTCTGCGCTAGATAGACTCGTGTTCCAATAACCGCTAGTTCAATGTTGCAGGGGCAACCTTTCGGCCGGAAGCTAGGTGCATTATTTTTCGGGCTGAATCCGATTCCGCATGAAAATCGCAAACACGAAGTCGTAGGTAGAATAATTTGTAGGTCACTGGTACACGCGAAACAATGACGATCGTGAAGACGCTATTTACGCTTGTGTAGAAAATGACAGAAAACCCACGTATGCGTGTCGGTGCATCACAAGCGAGGCGTACGATTTTAAAAGAAAAAGCAAGCAAGCAAACAGGTTTGCGGAGTTGGATGATTCTCGAAATACGTTTCACACGGGACATATTGTTATAGTAGTCATGAATGATTTTGTCGTTTTTTTTTGCCGTAAAATGAATGCACCTTCTTTCTATGTTTCACGGCGTAATATCAAATTTAAATATGCTATGTGCCCAGTACCCAGTACATGCAAACTATGTTAATATTTCTGGAAAGCAGTTGCTATAAATGTGAATAAAACGATCCATGACATTTTCAAGGCAATGTATCTAAAGTTTATTTCAAAAAGGTTTGGAATAATAAGACCTCATTAAATCTGCTAAGAGACTACAGAGTGACGCAAGCTTAAGTCATACTCATTACAAAATTATTCATTTTTCTTGGAGAAAGGGCGAAACAAAATGAAAAAATATTTTTTAAAGCAAAAATTTGATGGAGGCGGAGCTAGTTGAAAACTCTTGGTGTCTCAAAACGAATTTTGGATAATTTTTGGATAATTTTTCAGCTTGGCCAAGAAAAACGAGTTTTTTTTATTTTATTTTCTGATTTATTTTTCAACATAATCTCCATCAACGCTGATATATTTCTCATGACGGTGTTCTACTTTGGTTAAACGAGTTTCAATCGTAGATTCGTCCTCAAATACTACTGATTTAGAGCTTCGATAACTTTCTCGTTACTCTTTAATCGTTTCCCGCCAATCCATTTTGTGAGGTTAGGAAACAGATAATAGTCGTGGGGGCTAAGTCTGGAGGGTAGGGAGGTTGCAGCATCAACACAAACCTCAATTGGTGGATTTTGGACATGGCGGCAATCGACCAATGAGCTGCTGCGTTATCGTGATAAAACAACCTCGTGCTTCAAACTTTGCAATAACTCTGCGTAGTATTGACGGGGGATTGCTCTCACATCCCAGAAAAAATTATCCATAACCTTGTTTGCAGATCAAATTGTTTTAACTTTTTTGGAGTTGGTTCCCCTTTTGTAACCCACTGTTTTGATTGTTTCTTATATTCAGGAGAGTAGTGGTGGACCCAAGTCTCATCAACAGTTATGAATCGACGTAACAATTCGTTTGGATTACGCCTGTAAAGCGCCAAATTGTAGGCAGAAATGTTTTTTCGACTCAATTTTTGGTCGAGCTTTAGCAAACGCTGCACCCACCTTGCACCTGATCCGCTTATGAAATTCTTCGAAAATCTAGTCTCGCTTTACTTCTAGAAAGAATTCGTCATACCCGTAAGGAAGTAGACCTAATCAATAAGACTCTTCTCTCTCTACATCTTGAAATTGCTTCCATCCTGTCAATACCGTTTCAAACACTAGCATTAACACTAGAGGAACCATCAAACTCTTCTCAACTCCCAAACACTGTATCTATCACAGTGTCATCGCAACAACTTTCGGAAAAATATTATCGTATTATCTCAAAAGAGGAAATCATTTCAACGGCTAATGAAATTCGATTTGAAACTGCGAAATTCCTTAAAAAATCAAACCTCCTAAATCTAATATTGCAAAGCTTGAACCCGTTGGATGGTCATGAACACCACCCGAATATCAGAAAAAAATTCAAGACATTCTTCGACCTGTTGTCAGCACTCCGACATATTCTCTAGCAAAATCTTTATTAAAATCCTTAATTATTTTCACTTCATTCAACAATTAAAAAACATTACATTAGATAAACAAGATAATTCAACATCTTTTCCAGATATATTTAAATCCTAGAAGCTCTCGACACCTTCCATCTAAAATCAAAATTATGGAAACCCTACGTCGATTATACTTCTGTTATTTGGCCTCGTGGTCAAGAATCCCTAGTAGATTTTCTTAGACATTTACACTCTGTACACCCTAACATACGTTTTACTATTGATTTGGAAACTAATAATAACCTACCATTTTTAGATATTCTTATCAATACAAAATCAGACCTAACATTGAGTCATTGTGTTTACAGAAAACCTAGGCGGATACGGTAATGCATACTCACGTCATCATCCGGTAGAAAAATCATCGGTTACCAACTCTCTTGTTTAGTCAGTGAACCCACCTTTGTTCTTCTCTCTAATAATTTTCACATTAAAGATATTACGCGTTCTACTTCACCACAACCTTCCAATAGCAATGAGGCCGAAAGCAATTCTACACTTGCCACTGCTGTCCTTCCTTACGTTCAAAACATCACCGACCACTTATTAAAAGTTCTAAAGAAATATAACGTCACAACCAGATTTATCACTCGTCCAAAAATCTCTCAACATCAAAGACAAAATTCCACTTGAAAGGCCAGGAGTTTACTGCATTCCGTACATATGCGGCAAAGAATATATTGGCGAGACCGGACGAAAAATATCAACTAGGCTCAAAGAACATGGAACACAATCAAGTTTTGTAAAAATTATTACAGTAGCCCGTGGAAGTTTCTTTGAAAAACATAACGCGCCAGTTTTTAAGAAAACATGCTTATATTTTGTAATCTGGTTTTCAGGCGTAGATTCCGAAAATGCAATGGGATGCAGGTTTCCGGGAGCCCCGGCTCACTCCTCGATAGTGTTTTCAGATGAAAACTTAGGACCGGGAACGGTAGCGACATATACTTGCGAACGTGGATTCGAATTGTTGGGTCCATCCAGAAGGGTTTGCGAAAACAGCGTGTGGTTACCAGAGGGTATACCTTTTTGTGGTAAGTTTTTGCGCAATTCGAACTAAAACTAAGGCCTGTTTCTAATTAACTTTACGAACTCACCTGCAAACATAAAAGACTACCTATTTGCGGAAGTAGTAACGATTTAATATAAATTTTTACTTTTCTGAGTCTAACCCTATTAAGGTTTCGATCAATATGATATCATAAAAACATTAAAAATTAAAATGAGCGTTTTTGGCGAGCGAGTTTCGGCATTTTCCCTTGGAACATTCTCAATAAAGAAAAAACCCCAGAAAGATTGAAAACTGCAAGTTTGAAGTAGTTTGTTTTGTTGGACTTGGAAAAATCACCAATCAAATCATTTTTGATAGAGGGGTTAGAAATGGGGGGTTAAAGTTGATATCTCCAGATTTGATGTTACAAAATATCTCCGAAATGCTGGTTTTCACTGAAATCTGACAGATGTGGACGCAACTATCCCTCGTCCAGGGAGGTTTTAAGGCGACATCTGCTAGTTTCCGACATAAGCAACAACGATGTCGGATGGAATTTGACCGAAATCGTCTAGAAAAGCGTAAATAATCATTCTCGTAGGTTTCCACGGACAAGAAGATTTCACTTCCCAAAATTCAGTGTGACGCATCCTCTGTGGTCGATCGCGATGACGAGTTAAAATGCTGACAAATTGCCTTAGTGGGTTTCGTTTACGTTTAACGGAATGTCCGTGCAAAGTGGGCCAAGCGCTTGCAAGGTTTAAATACACGGTCAATTTTCGATGTGTGGTCGAAATGGTTTCGATCTGTGGTTTTTATGTTTCTATTATCGGGCGTAATCTGATGATGACGTAAAAACTAAAATTGATTGATATTATTGATTATCAAAATTGACTGAGAAAGTTGTTTAAATAACGTGAGTTTTTAATCAATGAATGAAGAAGTGTTGCACATTTTACAGGGCTAGTCATTATATTTTGACACCCACCTGCAGGGTGAAATTTGAAATATAGAAAAATTAGTGTAGATAAAAAAGTTTGAAGATTTTTGCTCTATTATCTCATGCAAATGTCAGAAAAAACAAACGACGATCGTAAGCTTCCAAAATGACAGCAACATATTTTTTTAAAAATTGCCCTGTATATTATTAGCTTAATCTTTTTGTCCTGCATTCGTATAGCTGTATTAACATTTAATTTAGCCTTTTTTTGAGATATCTCAGTTTATCATTCGATTTCAATGATTTTTTACTATTTTACTATAGGACTCTCCGGATAATTTTTTAACGTCAGGTATAGAATATTCGGGACTTTCTAAAAAATATGAAATACATAACTTAAGAAAGTAGGACTCAAAGTGATGATGTCAAGTGTCGTAAAGAAATATATTGAAGTCTTCATCAAAATTTCTTTCCATTTTCCTGGTCTTCCGTGTGATACCATTTCGGTCCTCAAATTGTTGAATAACATTTTTAATTGTATTTATTAAAGGAACTCTTCTACCCGGATATATTTGTCGATATTTTCTTTTAACCTTTGCAACATTATGTCCGTTTGAATAATACAATTTTATTATTTGGCGTATTTTCTTCCTCTGTACAAGCCATCTTAAGTTTTAACTTAATTTAACTTACACTGCAAATCTTTAGCTTTGATTAGTTGTCAAAAGTAAAACATTGTTAAAACAATTGCAAATATGGTTAGTATCAAGGCAGACTTGACCATTTTTAAACAATATGGCTATTATTCAATAGAATGATAATTATTTTCAAACTGAAATATCTCAAAAACGGCTTAATGAAATGTAAATAAACTAGATATTTATGAAATCAGGAAAAAATGATATACGATTTCAGCTAATAATATATAGGGCATTCCCTTTAAAAAAAGATATTTCTGTCATTTTGACAGCTTGCTATAGTCGTTTGTTTTTTCTGACAGTTGTATAAGATAATAGATCAAAAAATCTTCAAAGTTTTCTATTATCTATCAAAATTAACCCTTTAGGTGGGTGTCAAAATATAATGAGTACATAGTATACTTTTTGGGTGTATTTTTGCGAAACAGCAAGAACGTATTCTCAGAATCCCGTGTGACGTGAATATCGTGAACTAAAACGTCAAAATCCTACCCATGGCTAAAATCTACCGAAAATATCGATGGCTCCCAGTTCGGTATTTTAGAGGAGGGATTAGAAAAAGATATTTTTGTGAAAATCTGCACTAGTTATTGAGGTGAAAAAAATCTCTGGGGCCCGGGGGCACAGACCAGTGGTTCTTAAAATACGAAACAGAAAAACTTGGTAGAACGCTGCGGTTTTTATTTGAAAGATGATTGAAAGAAGTACCACAACTCTAAAGTTCTGTTATCCATGATAAAGGCTCAAAACATGATCTGAAAAATTTTAGGGGCATAGCAGTTAACCTAACAATCTAATAGAAGCCAATGTTAACGACAAACAGTTAGAGGAACAGTCAAGATTTCTGGAGATAATATATACGACAATCTATATACATATTGTGTTCATAGATCTAGAAAAGCGTATGATAGCATCCCTGTAATCAAATTATAGAAAGCAGGAGAAAATTTTACTATTAAATCAACATTAATCACGACGGTCCAACAATATTACAGTAAACAACAATAAACAGTAAGAATCAAATCAAACAACGAATAACAAAAGGTAGCAAAGCCATTAGTGTATGAAATAGCGACCAGAAACCTAACTTCATATTTAAAATACAATCGGAAAAAGCACTATGACGTATGGGTCAGAAGTATGGGATGTGAGTTAAACAAGTAGAAATAATGACGATATAGAGAGAAAACCTTAATTGACAGGAAAAAAGATTGGATGAGACGAGAGGCCAAGAAAAATATCGGAATGGTTACCTAGAAAAAAACGGAAGCAGAAGTTCTAGGAATGATGTTGACGAAGCAATGGAGAAAAGAGATTTAAAGGAACAAGACGGCTGCAGCCATAGAAAACCATTAATATATGTAAATGGTTAAATGGATTTTCGTCGAAGCCATCAAAATTTTAAAAATATCGTAAATTGTGTCATTTAGAAAAAACTAGAAAGTCAAGAAAATTCATCAAACCTCTCTTGTGTCTTTAGTCATTTACTGATAAAAGTTACCTTTGTTTTAATCACTAAATCGAAAAACGCAAAGTTGATTTTAATACCGTAGAATTGGGGCACTACGTTTATTCCAAAAGTGAATAATCTAAAAAATAAATAAAAATACGAAGAAGTTTTTTTTTTTTTATGGATATGGATATACTTGCGTATTTGCAAAATTTGTCGCAGCTTTCCAGTACATAAGGGGTACTTCAGAACATACCGTATTCATAATATCATTTACGGACGTTATATTTAAATTTGAATCGGCAATATATTGCAAAAAAGATACACAGTGAACGGCTGAAATTCATTTAACAATCAAGTAGAAGAATGCTTGCACACGCGCCCATTTTTTGCAGTAAATAGAAAATCTACAGATGCAAGATCTCCAGATAGCACTCCTCTGGGTATATTTAAAATCAAAAGCCAATAACGAAAATATACTGAGTAATGTTTTGGTTAGTTTTAGTTTTAGTAGTTTAGTTAATAGTAGTTTTAGGTTTTCAAACCTATTGGCATATTGTCCAGAAGTTAAAGGTGGGCATTTTCATTTCTTTTCTTCTTCTTCGACATGGCCTGTTTCTATACATTTTCTCTCAATTTTACTCACTGTTGATCTTGTAATTAAATTAAGTTAAAAATCGAAATCTTAACTCTCCGGGTTTCATTTAGATTAGCCATATTCATTTTCTTCAGTCAGCAACGTAATTGTTGAAATTTTAAGACATTTACTGGTACCAGCTACTTACCTGTTCGTGTTAAAATTAAATTTACAAGCACAATTAAAAATATCCATTTGGTTTTTTATACTGTTCGCTAAACTATACAGTCCGAATAGTGGATAGGTAACACAAACACTGATACAGGGTTACAGATAAAACTTTTGCTACTTAGGAAGAAAAAACAATCATAATGAATGTAGATTGGTTCCGTCTTGATTCTAGAGTTTTATAACGAAATTCTTGAAGTAAAGTTTAAAATATTTTTTATAGTATAAAAAGCGTAAAAATTTCTTCTTATTTTATTTATTTTCTCAGTATATTTTTGCTAAATGGGGGGCCAGACTAACGAAGCATACTCAAGTATACTTCTTACTAGTGAGTTGTACAAGTTTTCAATAGTTTTCATTTGTTAAAAATTTGGTCTGTTCCTCAGAATAAAACACAACATTACATACACCTTTTCATTGTGTTATGTATATGTTTCGAAGCTTATTTTTGTGTCTAAAGTTGCTCCCAGATCGTTAATTCGCTTTTTTATTCTTAACATTATATTATTAAATCCACAATCATCATTAAATTTAAAATTATACATTAAAAGATAACTTATTTTCATTGGCCTATGCATATTCTCTTGGAGTAAAACACAGTCTTCTAAATTCCTAATAGTTCTATTAAATTTAAAGTTCTCTTGGAATAATTCACACTCAGATTTCTGAAGATCATTTGGTAGGTCATTTATTAAACAAAGGAAAAACACAACAAATTCAAATGACTCTATACCATTAACCATACCATTAAGTACGATGCGCATACCTTAAGAATATCGACCGAGCTACCAAAAACATCTAATTTATTTAGAAGTACGTCATGATCAACTCGATCAAATGCTTTTGAGAAATCTGCAATATATATGTAATACATATAAAGTCTATTTGTTTATTGTTATATATGGATGCTTTTACTTTATGTAAAAAGTAGTCAAATTGTGGGGTCAAGTAGATATTTCCTAAAGTTTAAAAAATTCGACGCCTGCAAAGAGCTGGGCGTGGCGACGCGTCGAAAAATTATTCGATTGCAGAGACTTTGGAAATACGCGCATACAAAAGTACATATTATTTAAAAACTTTTTTGTTATTTACTCAAACTTATTTACTTTACCCGTTTCTAAGTAATACCGATTTAAAGTAAACATTTATT